GCTTGAGTTGTTTATTCATTTGCTATGTTTATGTGTAATCCTGGCAAATCGTTCATAGCTAAACCCATGGTTCCAGAAGCATCCTAAACCCTTCCAATCCTGGGAAATACACTGCCCCTGCACAGCTTAGGGGATACAGGCTGGGTTTTAAAGGCAGAAGCAAGATGATGCTCACGGTTTTTTTCCCCTTAAGCCAGATGGAGGGGCCAGACCTGGGGAAGGACTTGGGAATATCCACAGCTCATATTCCCTGTGCTGCTTTTCAGGGATATCCACTCACTCCCATGAGGGTCCCAAAGGAGCATCCCTGCTTCTCCTGCATCCTTCAGGGCTGAGCCACTGGCTGAAGTCCACTCACCATCTCTTTGCTGGTCCTCTGCCTTCCAGGGGGATGAGCACTGGGAGGACCACCAGACACAGTGGCTGGCTGCTGGGGTCAGGGCTGCACAAGGAGAGTGGGGTCCAAGTTAGTGGACTGCATACGCTGAGCTCGTGAAAAGCAACTGTTTTCCCTCATAGACTGGTTTGTGTTGAAAGGGACCTTAGAGCTCATCCAGTTCCACCCCCCCGCCATGGGCAGGGACACGTTCCACTAGAGCAGGCTGCTCCAAGCCCCATCCAACCCGACCTTGAACACTGCCAAGAATGGGGCAGTCACAGTTTCTCTGGGCACCCTGTGCCAGTGCCTCAGCACCCTCACAGGGAAGAACTTCTTAAGATCTCATCCCAATATCCCCTCTGTCAGGTTAAAGCCATTCCCCCATGTCCTGTCACTACACACCTCTCCAGATTTCTTGTTGGCCCCTTTAGATACTGGAAGGCTGATATAGGGTCTCCTGGAACCCTCTCTTCTCCAGCCTCATATCAGTGTATTTCTGCTGTGAGTTCCAGCCAGCTCAGCTGCAGCCACACTAACAAGGGTGGGCTGACACAGATTTTTATGGGGTCAGCTCAGAGTGGCAGGAAAAAGCATTACCTCTTAGTTGTACTCCTCAGCCAGCCATTGATCCACATTATCCAGACAGCCCTTTCCATTCATCTCTACTTAAAGTGCCTGTATAGGTGAACCTCCAGGAAACCAGCTTTAAAAATGGGGAGCATTTACACCTGGCTGCACTTCTGAGTATATCAGTAAATCAGGCTGATAGGAAATTCATATTGCATTTAGAAAAAGGTTTGCTAGATAATAGTAATGGTTTTGTCTCTTGTCCAGAGGTTGATTTATACTATTGAAACCACCTTTCACTGAAGGTCTTTGCTGAATCCTGCCACTGTTGCCCAAAGGGAATATGAGTGTTTCCATCTGAAGATACCATTTTGATTTATGGCTTTCATATATATCCCTTTTCTCCCCCAGCACTTCACATGCTGAACCTTTGCGATCTTGTGACAGTCACTTTATTCCTGATATAACCCTACAGAAGAAAGCTGGGTCATCTTGGTGACACAGAGAGGGACTCATCAGGGTGAGTGGGCTATAAATGACTTTTTAGCTGAACACAGGTCACAAGTTTTCCTCACACAACTAAATCATGTTATTTCCCAGAGCAAAAATCCAGGAACCAGATTTCTGCACTTTTCTAATCATATGGAGGATCTTGAAAGGAAAACTTCGTTTTCTATGAACTCCCCCACTTATTTATAGCTGCTTGTAATATAAAAGAAAACAATGGCACTATTGTTGATGCCTTTATTATAAATAAGTAAAAATGCAAGCCAAATTTAGACACAAATTCAGCTATTCTGCTTGCATCCCTGCAAGAAATTTCTGTCTACCCAAAGGAAAAAAAATCAAGCACTTTGATGAGGAACATGTCTATTTGTGAATAGACTGAAAGATTGTCACAAACCTCCTCAGTACGAATAATCTTCATTGGGGTTGCTCCCTATAAGAAGATCATCTATAAAATCAGCTCAAAAAAAGCATTAAATAGAAAAAAAGGTTCTTTAATTCGAGATAGTGACAATACTCAGGCCAATGACTGCTTGTGATTGTTGCCAGCGTTCAAGTATCATAAAAACAAAATACATGCAATATTTGCATTTGTTATAGAGTGATATTTTTATCTTTGGCTCTTGGTAATATGAGAATTGATATCTGAATTTATAATCACCAGAAACTCCCTCTATAAAAATATAATCAGAGGCTGTGCAGTTGCTATCTATAGTTCAATCTATATATATGTGATACATCACTTACATTACTGAGACACTGTTGCATGGAAAGACTCAAGGGCTTCTAGCCTTAGTAGCAGTGCTCGGATGCTATAACTACCTGCTATGGCACAGGATGAGTCAGATCCTGCCTGTACCCATCTCTTCAAAAGGCTCTTCTCGAAGTCAATGGGACATTTGCCTGAGTCACAGAGAAAAGTCAGGCTTTCAGTTATCTTGGAATTACACAGGCTCAGACTCATTTCCCCCAGGACCACAACTGCCTGATTAAAAGTCTGCAGCTGGGAATTTGGAAGTCTCTGTTCTGTTCCCTTATCAGTTACATCCCCCATGATCAAGGGATGGGTAGACCTATTAGCAGCAGCCTCCATGCAGCACCCAGGGCAAAGGGGCTGTGCATACAGTTGATCAGTGGGCTTGAAAATTAGGTGTTTCAGTTTCCTCAGGGCAAAGCTGATGGAAATGTTTTTGCAGTGGGGTTTCTGTACTTACTCAACAGTTTGCAAGATGATTTTACACTATTGTTGTTAGCTGGACAGCAAAAGATGATGATTCTCCCATTACCTTCATATTAAATTAGGAGTTAGCCACCTAGAAGGAAAGAGAAAGACCTACGGAGGAGAATGCCTGTTCAGGAAACAGACTTATGCACAGAATGACTTGGACATGTATCATACTAAAAGCTCAGCAGTATTTCATTGGAACTCTCTCTTCAGAAATAGGAAAGCTCATTGAACAAATGGCTCTGAAAAGCCTCCTGCTGACAATGGAGAAAATGCTACCAAGAATCAAAGTCTTAGCAGGAGAAAGCAGAAGACTTTTTGTCCTGCCTTACCTCTACATTACAGACACTTGCACTGATGAAAGAACTCTTATGTCTTTGGCTGACTTGAGTGGAATGCGAAATCTTCAATTTTTCAGATTATTTTCCTCCTTCAAATCACTTGAAATGATCAAAGGAAGAAGGATGTGAATCCATGAAGGGAACTGGTGATTTAACAGCAAACTTCTTTACTCAGAGTCTTAACAGTAGAGAACAGCTTCGGCTGAGCAAGAATATTCTGTTTAGCTTTGGTTTTCCACCACCCATGTAGGACATACTTGGAAGAGCCCTAGAGCAGCTGTCCTGCCAAAGAGGGTGAAATGCTGTAAGATGATCAGGTACTAGGCAAGGGCTTGTCCCAGTGTGCTGCTAGTGAAATGATATCAAAGCAGTCTCTGGGCTTTCTTTGAAGGGTGGGTCACTGCTGCTACTTTTGCTTCATTCCTGCAGGCAAAAGAACTTAATGGTAGAAGATGAGGCATGCAGACACGCTGCATCTTTTAAGCTGTATTTGTACATGCAGAGCACTGTTGTCCTCTCCATGCCACCTGCAAACTTCAACACCATAGGATACTGAAATCATTATTCTTGTAAGAGAAGGGGAACAGGTATAACAGTGAAAGGGCTTTTAATACCATGCAATCCACAAAACTTTCCAGTAGCTTTGGAGAGGAAAAGTATCTGCAAATGGATAGCCACAGGCAGTGACACACTGGGAAGCACTCTTGAATATCTTTTGACTTGTACAGCAGCAGGAGGAAAACAAACTGTTTGGAAAATCTGCATTTGATTTGTTTTTCAAGCTGGGAAGCATGTGAGGTGATTTTTCATTTAGATCATGGTAAACAGTAGAGAAAGAAGAAAAGAATTATAAGAGAGTAGATTATGTCTCTCTCATGTCTCAAGTACCCTTTGCCCTGTCATGAATCAGGTTTGCAGGAGGGCACACACCAAGGGACTGGCCCTGACTACAGCTCTCTTCACACACTGCAAGAGGAGAAATAACATCCAAGATACTTGGCAATTCAGGAATCTGCATTTAGGAGATAAGTTCAAAAGTGGTCTGTAAATGACCTAGAAATGGGAGCTAAAACCTTCTTCTATCAACAGAGAATTCCCCCATGGAGGGCTGCCAGAGCATGCTAAGGAATGGTTCATAGGAAGGCAGGTTTAGGTGGGTAGTTCACTGAGCTACAAGCACCAGCAAGTTCACAACAAGAAGAGGGTACAGCCATGCAGCTCTGAGGCACCTCCCTTAAACCACTGCTGGACATCCCCATATAGGAGGAAGTAAATTTGCATTATCCATGGCAAGCAGCCATTCTAGGTTCTGGTGCATTGAAATATGTCTTCTATCCTACTACATAGGGTATAAAAAGAAAAATGGGAGAAGGAGAAAGTTAGATCTAGAGAATAATCCCAGAAGCAGCTGTTTTATACCCTGAAACATACTTTGTGTAGGAATTGGTCCATTTGCCCACATGCATTCCTGCAGGCCAGATCAGCTTTCACTGAGAAGATAATTTAGGCAGAACACACATTTTCTACTATTTATAAGACTTCCCTTTTAATGGTTCATCTGCATTGCAGATACAGTGGGACCAGGGGGCTGTTCACAGCACAGTTGCAATATGTAGGGTAGACAGGATTCACTCACGCCTTCTTTACCTACAAAATGCAGCAGTTCTCAAATGAGAGGTTTTGATCTTGGACTTGGAAAACAGAGTTATGAACCCACAGAAGCAGAAAAGCATAAAAAGGTTGATATGAGACTGAAAACTTAAAATGCAAAGAACCCAGATGATATCTACTTTACATTGGCTTAGGGCTATGTTTGGAAGCATGTGGAAATTTCATCTGTACCTCTATCAACAATGCAATCCCAATGGACATAGGGGGCCTAAGCCTCAAAACGTAAACAGATCATCAGATTCTTCAAAATGACCTGTACAGCTTGCTCAAGTGAGATGGGTTTTCCATTGAACACACTGACTGAAAAGACAATGTTGAGGAAAACATTTATTTCCCATTCTAAAATATAACTCTGGATTATAATGTTTTAAAAATTACAATTCTTGCAACAACTTTAATTCCTCTTCCTCATCGCTATCAGTTATACTGACTATGCGGATGCTGGAGGAACTAGATGGAGTGGCTGAGAAAAGCTCCTCCAGTCCTCCAACACCCAGCTGTGGTAGGGGCCTAACAACCTGCCCCTCATTCCAGTTGCTCTGAGAGGATACTGCTTCAAGGCGCACACAGATGTGCTGGTTCTCACGTGTGCTTTCTTCCGGGTGTTCCTTGGAAGGATAGGCTCCCTCCAGAGCTGGAAACATCAATTCCTGCCTTTGGTACTTGTCTTCAGAAAAGCCAAAGCATTCAGGCACTGAGTTGGGGAAATTCGCACGGCCAAATGGGGGACGGCTGAATGAGCATGTGCTGCAATTAGAGAGATTGAAAGTTGGCTTCAGAAAGGCAGATTGCTGTTCAGCTGCGAAAAACAGAATGACATTAATGTTCTCTGCTAGCCAGCTTCCCCTGTTGAAATATTCAGAACGCATACTTCAAAACCTTGCCTAATTTAAACACTAGGGCCCATAACAAGAGTTGTGCACAAATTCCATATCTGTGCATGTGCACGCCTTCATGCTAGATACATGCATGATGTTGCTTTGAAAACAAACTCAAACCCCAATGTATTTATGAATGAAATAACACCACAGATAAACTAGCATCTGGTCAGCCTGCAGTATGTTAACCAGTATTCCCAAAACAGCAAAAAAAAGGCACCAAAAGTCAGTTCGTGTTATTTCTCTATGCCAAAATCTGTGACAGCCATTGGGTAAAACACTGTTACTTATTTTTTGAAGCAAACTCTTGCATCTGCTACACTCTTATTAAACAGGAGGACTGACAGAGGATCCTTGTGGTTGTCAATGTTACTGTTTGGAGAATATACAGTTATAAACAGCGTAGATGTTCTAAAGACGTTGGTACAATGTCTGTTGAGGCTTAGGGGAAATGATACATCTTTCCAGTCTAATCTTTAAATTTTTAGTGCATAAATCTGCATACATGCATTTGCACTGTCAGGGCTACTCATAAATTATGAGTCTTGTATGCGAGAAATGTGTTTATAGGAATGTGAAATTATGAATCATTGTATTAGAAAGATCCTGGTATAAGCAAAGCTGGCAGCCTTCTGAAGCCTGCTAATGTGTGAACTCAGAGCAGTCTTTTATGGTACAAGAACACTCCTCTCCTTCAGAGGCTTCACAAAACTGTAATTCCAGAGACCAAGGGCTAAGCAAAGTTCAACGTGAGCAATTTTGGGAATATGTGTCCTGTATTTCTTTAAAGGACATCTTGTATTTCCAATGTCTTTAAGGTTTGATAGGTCATCAGCCTTAATTTCTGACTGGGTAACTTACTGCTCTAGGAAAATACTGGTTGCTGCTATTAGTATGAACGAGCAGTGTATAAACAGGCATAACTTCAGTCTAATTGTCATAATAATTTGTTATGTTTGATATTGCATAGTCCTGAAATAAAAATGATGCCTTACAAAGAATAAGCACCAGTAGGCCATCAGTCGACTTGTGTTGGAGCAGCACACCTGCTGCTGGGAGGGCATTGGTGCCTTCTGATCATGCTTAGCTTAGGAAATACCCACAGAATATTACATGTGTTAGCTTGTAAATTCTCAGATTAGGTGATTTCTGACTAACTGCCCAGAGACTTCAAAATAAAAAAAAAACAAACAGGTATTACTACTTATATAAGAATTCTGGAGATATTTCCCACCAGGCTGGGATTCAGAAATATTGGTAGTTATGCCAGCCCCAATGATAGTACCAGGAGACATCTCACACACCTACTGTAATTCTATCTGATCAGTTTCTAAATATAGGTACACTACCTAATGCTTTTCAGTGGAAATCAACTGCACTTAGATGCATAAAGTGGAAAGCAGTCAAAAGACTGCCTTTTAGCATTTGTTCTTACTGGTATTGTAGTGAAAGGTTTCATTACCTTGATGGGAAATAGTGAGGTCCAGGTACAATGTAAGAGTGGGAAAATGGAAACCGAAGAGGTACTCCAAACAGACCAGCTGGCTGAGCAATGTCATAGACATGTGAGTGGAGAAAAGGGGTAGCCTGGGGAAGAGGTAAACCTCTAGGGAAAATAGAAACTCCTGGGTACTCCCTGGGGGGCTCACTATTAGAGACAGAAAATCTGCCATTAGTGTTGGCTATGTTACTTGGGTTTCCACTGAAGCTCTCAATAAAAACTGGTGCAGATGTCTTCAGAGAGCAGTTGAGCCCAGATGACGCATCAGGAGCTTCTGTCTTAGCAGGTTGAGCAAAGCACTGTGGTGAAATTACAGGGGGCAGGGGCAGGGCTGGAGCTGGAACAGCCACTGATGCAGTGTTTGCACTAGTAGTCTGGAAAAGAGTAATTGGACCAGCAGGTTGAATGGAAGAAGCTGGCAGACGTATGGCCGGAGGCTCACCTTTAGGAAACAGAACAGTTATTTATCAGACATGAACAGAGGAAGTAATTTCACAAACGGCAGTATAGCAAACCACAGGCAGATCCAGATCCATTTTCCCCAAAACACGTCCTAGCATTACTTTGTTGCAACTCACTGTCATACGCTACTTGGAACTCAGACAAGCCAACCTTTCACAGAAACCCAAGGGTGAAAGAAGGAATTGGTTAGTGAGTGTTGAGGATATGAGGCTGGTGAGGTCTGTGTCATGTCCTGATATGGTCACAGAATGGGACTGGAGTGTGTTTTTAGTGTCTGAAGCACAGAAACCTCCCAGATCTACTTGCTTCCTTTGAGTGAGCCAAATTCCTAACAAATATTTGTGGTGCCAAAGCAGCAATGAGAAGCAAAAGCAACAGTTAAAACACCCTACTCTCCAATATGCTTGCTTTCTTGTTTCACCAGCAAAGTACCCACTAGCCAATTTCACTTTTAAATGTTTTGCAGTACACTTGAATGTACACTTTCAAATCACACCTCCTGTCAACAGAGCTGCCTTTATACAAAAGATTGCAAAACACATTGTATACTTATTTTCAAAGCCCACTACCTAGTTTAAGAGTCTAAATTCCAAGTCAACAGGACTTAGATGCATCTAGATCTTTACAGCTTGTATTTAAGAATAATTTCAATCACAATAGGATAGTAGCATCGGAGGACAGCATAACGTTGTAAAATATACCAGGGTAAGAAAATTAGTACTTTATTCAGTCAAATTTACAGAAGAGTTTGAGAACGGATCACATCATTAACTCAGAACTTCACCTAAACAAATCTGAGTGTTCTCTTTTACATCTCTGAATATTACCACACAGTGTAAACAGGCATTTCATTTTCTTGTCTCATCGTAAAGGGAGCAGCCCTTGTCAGTACGCTTAAAAATGCCATTAAGCTATTGGTTGCTGAAATCCACTATTCATACACTGAGCCAGACTTCTTACACTACAAAATGAGCAGGTCAGCTATTACACAGGACTGTTGGCTCTCATACTATATCCTATTTCACTGCCCATATTGATGTCTTATCAAAATCCTTCCAGGCTAGGTGCAACTTTTCAATATATTCCTTCTCTAATTCTATTTTTGTTTGTATAAAGCTGAGCTCAAACTGTGAGCATGTGCAAGTCCATAACACCTACATGCAGAACTGGTGTGCCTAGATAGCTAAGTAACTTGCTCATGGAAAACGTGTCAATGAAAACTTTCTTTTTCAGATTTAGTGACTGCTTTATCATTTCAGCACACACCTTACTAACACCCTACTAGCATCCTTTTGGATGTCCTTGTTGACAGTTCTGTCTGCTCTCTCTTGTAAGCAGCCTAAGTTGCGGAGCATTTGCTCTAGAGCAATGTTGCCCTCACTATGAAGAAACATTAAAACCAGGGTGGAGGTGCCATGGACTGAGCTAATGGGCTGTTTTAGAAGTGGTAGGACAGGGTTGAGCACTAGTGCAGTTAGAGCTGGTGAGGTAAGACGTGTGGTAGAGACAGGACAAGAAAAGGAAACAGCTGTAGCTCGACAGAAAGCAAGTGTTGAGTAACAGATACCCAAAAAGACTGAGAGGGAGGGAACCAGAGCTACAAATACAATAGCAGTGATCTGTGGGCAATGAAAAAGCCAGAAGGATTTAAAAGACTGAGGAAACAGTAGGTAGAGATGGGGAGATGGAGATGCAGCGCAGAGGACTGATAGAACTAGTGGTGTCAAGAAAGACCAAGAAATTGTTTTAAGTACATCTACACTACTACATACATAACTTTTATTACAATAGGTAAATTCTGAATTTTTAAAATCATTCACTACTGAAAACTCACAGACTGGATATCCAATGCTGTTCTTAACATTGGGGATGACAACAGAGTAAGCAGGTGACTGGATGGGACAAATGCCAGCTGGATTTGTAGTGATGACACTCTGAGAAACACCGGGAAATACAGCAGAGACAGGCAGTGGAAAACGCTTCCTTTTGCTTGGTCGTGGTTGATAAACCCAATCTGTCAGAGATGAAAAAAGACACAGATGTCCCGTTTTTTTGATGGTCTCATTCTTTACATGAAGTTATGGGATCTGCAATTCTAAAATATATAAAAAAAGAAAGAGTCCCAAAGTGTCTTCTATAGTCAATGGCAATACCCCATTTGTTTCAGTGACCCAGCAAATGGGCATTTTATCAGAGGTGGAAATAAAATTGACATATTTGGGCATTGGCTTTATATTACTAAATAGTAACTGTGAGACAAAGAAAAGCAGAACAATGGAGAGTGACATGGCCTTGCTGAGGGAAGCATGTTAAAGAGAACATGATACTGTATTACGGGCTTTTGGTGTGAAAATAAACTATGACTGTATTCTGAGACATTGGGAAAGGTTCTTCACTATGAGGGTGATGAGGCACTGGAACAGGTTTCCCAGAGAAGTTGTGGATTCCCCATTCCTGGAAATGTTCAAGGTGAGGTTGGACAAGGGTTTGAGCAACCTGGTCTAGTGAAAGGTGTCCCTGCCTGTGCCAGGGGGTTGGAACTAGATGATCCTTAAGGTCTTTTCCAACCCACACAGTTCTGTGATTGATTCTGTGATTCTATTAAAAATGTAGATCTCTCCTGATTGCTTCATTAACCCATTAAGTCTCACACATACCTGCAGTTTACAAGAGACAATGGAAAATATGATATATTAGGAATCCTGTACAGATTTTGGAGGAGTACATTTGGCTTTACCTTACAAGAATAACCAAACACTAAGTGATGTATATTATGTATATATATGAGATGTATATTATGTATATATATGTATATATGAGAGATGTATATTATGAATTTACACTGAGCAGCTCGGGTTCTTGCATAGTCTAACCCTTAATGCCACTTTAAAGAAGCCCTTTTTTCTTTTGAAGGGTGCAATGAGAAGGGGATGAGAGAGACTTTTATCTTTTCCTTATTTATGACAGATTAGTCAGATGTTATCTGCCCAGATTAGCCATAATCATGAACTAGCAGGATTAAGACAACAGAGAGAGAAAGGATCACAACACTTGGTATCTCAACAGCTTTTAAAAAGAGTGTTCAAAGTACTTTTGCTGTTTTACTGAACTGCAGCATTACGGAGAAAGGGATTTGTGAAGGGTACAAATTTTTAACCTTTTTGATGAAAGGTTGAGAAACAACATCTTCCACACCATTATTTGGGAATCCCAAGTCTACACATGGAAGAATCCCACAGAATATACAATGCTGTTTGTGCTTCCTGTGGCATTTCCTTTTCCTGCTTTTAAGGAATGGATGCATGTGTCACCACAGGCCACCTGGGCAGCTCTTTCTGGAGGACATGAAATGATGCAGCAGACCATGCTCACAATAAACTCACTATCTGGCTATTAGACTACTAAAACATTCAGGAAAGCTGCTGTAGCTGTGGTTAGAGGCTATGAAGGGTGAAACATCATTTTGGATGCTGTAAAGAATTAATGTGCTTTCATGCACTAGAAAGCTGACATGAGGACTGCATTTTTGAAACTTTTGTCATCATTTTCTATTACTTGCTCTAATGAAAGAGATACACTTCTCAAAAAATCTTGCACTTCTGAAGCATTCAGGTAAATAAAAGACTTGTTACTTGTTTACCAGGAAATTCCTCTCTGTGCCTTTGTTTTATTTTATGAGCTTCATCATAATAGGGCTGCTTCTGCTCTTCAGTCAGTTTGCTCCACTCCAATCCAAGCTGAACACTGATATCTGCATTGTTGGCAGCTGGGTTAGCTTTTGCTAGGACGGGCCGATGAATCCTTGCCCATACCATAAATGCATTCATTGGACGCTTCACGTGGCCATTTTTGTCCTTGCTAAATGGAGTGTCTGGCATACCTGTGCAACAGAATAAGGAAAGAGGATCATCTGCCATGCAATATATGCATACAGGTTACATTCAATAGTGCATAAAGAGGATATTTGGCACCAACCAAAAGAATCACTGGAACTTTGGAATACATGAAGCTCAATGCACATTTGGAGAGCAGTTCCTAGAAAAATAACTAAGGGTAAGGGAGTGCTCTTCACTGACCTCCACTGAACCACTGCCCAAGGAATCACTTACCTGGCTTTTGTTAAATAGTATTAAATAAAAAGACAGAAAAAGCCCAAAAGCAGCATACGGGACTGCAAACACCCTGCTTCGGGTTTCATTTGGCTAGATTGTTTTGTTATGAATTTGTAAACTAAACATTGTATAGTGCAGATCATGTCACTGCAAATTTGCCTTCTCCACTAGACCTACATACCCAAAACCCTAGGGAAGCAGGGACCAGATCTAATGGTGATACAGCAGCTTAGTCCCACACCTGTGGAGTCCCTGGCTTCTCAGCTGAGATTGTTCCCAGTTTGGGTTTTGGCTGTTGATTTCCCTCTCTCTTTTCTCTGATTTGGACTCATTTTGCTGGAGGAACCTGCATTACCCAATGACTGTTACATGACACCCAGCTTGGCTCTTTGTAAACACAGACTGCATTTAGATTGGTTTGGTGTCATGATGAGCCCCCAGATGCCTCACAACTGATCCCTGAGCAAGTGATGTCCTCTCTGAAAATGGTTTTAAAATGAGCTCTTCTACATTATCAATAAAGGGGAAAAGTCTTCTATTCTTTCAGACCTCACTTTTAAGTCATTAATTTTGAAAACCTAGTTTTGAAAACCTAGTTATCTTAAAAAAAATAATAAATCTAATGCAGGTATTTCAAATGTTCCTCATTCATCATGTGCAAGTTTTCTGAGTGAGGTGTATGAATGCTTCACAGCTTTCAAAATCAAGCAGACTCCTGACCTTAAAACCTGCAATCACATCTCAGTGCAATTTTGAACACTGTTATAATGGGTTTAATGTAATCAGGGAGTAAGTGGACAAAACTGCAGTGAGTTTAACAAACATGCTCCCACATGTTTATTACATCTCACACTGAAGAAGAGAGCTGTACAAACTCCACTCTATCCAAAGGGACGCTTCTCTCCAGTTATGTTCTCCTATCTGATTACCTGTGTGCCACTTACAGAACCCTTGCAAGCTCTCTTAATATAATACCTGCATCGGCGGGGAGTACTGTGAAGGGAATGTTTTTGGTTTCGATCTTTACAGAAGGCTCCAGTAAAGACTGCGTTTTAAGTGGCACTTTTTTCACCGGCACTTTAGGCATGTGGAGCAGGCCTGATGGCAGAGGGCCTTGGATCTGGATGCGGGTCCCAGGAGGCAAAGGGTGAACCACAACCGGGATCTTCATATCTTCAGACAGGAACCCAAAACCTTTACGTAGTGGCACCTTGCCGTCATCAACGCTGGTACAAACAGGCCCACACAGGGCTCCAGCAGGAGCAGGAAGAGGCCCACAAAGGGATCCAGCGGGAGCAGGAAGAGGCCCACACAGGGATCCAGTGGAAGCAGGAAGAGGCCCACACAGGGATCCAGTGGGAACAGGAACTGGCCCGCACAGGGATCCAGTGGAAGCAGGAAGAGGCCCACACAGGGATCCAGTGGGAATAGGAACAGAAACACACAGGGATCCAGTGGAAGCAGGAAGAGGGCCACAAAGGGATCCAGTGGGAACAGGAACTGGCCCGCACAGGGATCCAGTGGAAGCAGGAAGAGGGCCACAAAGGGATCCAGTGGGAACAGGAAGAGGCCCACATAGGGATCCAGTGGGAACAGGAACTGGCCCACACAGGGATCCAGCGGAAGCAGAAACTGGCCCACATAGGGGTCCAGTGGGAACAGGAATTGGCCCACACAGGGATCGAGTGGGAACAGGAACTGGCCCACACAGGGATCCAGGAGCAGGAACTGGCCCACACAGGGATCCAGCCAGAGCAGGAACTGGCCCACACAGGGATCCAGTAGGAGCAGAAACTGGCCCATACAGGGATCCAGCCAGAGCATTGGCGGGCCCACAGAAAGATCCAGCCAGAGCATCATCCTTTCCCACCTTCACCCCAAAGGCCTCAAAGGCCACACCAGGCATCTCCACTTTGACAGCAGCGTCTCTCCAGGGCTCCTTCCCATTCCCCCACTTCTCCAGCACCTTCACCTCGTTCTGGCATTCACCGCCAAACACTTCATGGTCCCTTTCTCTCTTGATGGCACCGCAAGCCTCTTCACCCACTTCCTGAACCTGGGAGCACCCGAACCCTGCCCCTGACTCTCTGCCATCCCCGCAGTAGCCCTGGCCATTGCCCGGCTCCACACCGGGCTCCTCCACTTTGATGCGCAGCACCCCGAGGGCACCCTTGCTGTCCTCCGGTGGCGGGAGGTGGCGGGATGCCGCCGGAGGCCGCCGGGGGCCGCTGCGGGGGACCGGACGCTGCCGCCGGCCCCTCTCCATCCCAAGGCCGCCCCTTAGGGCGCCCGCGGCCGTTGATGCCAAAGCTCGCCGCGCCCTCCCGCCAACGCCCACCAACGGCGCGCCTCGAGGACCGTTGGCGGAGGCTCCGCCGCCGGTCACGCCCCGGGACGAGGCTGTAACCATAGAGAGGTCCGCCGAGACGCACAGAGGGGCTCCCCCGAGGGAGGGGTGTTCACCCCGCTTCCGTTTCCGCTCTGGTCATGCTGGGCTGCGGGCGGGCCGCTGGAGCTAAGGCGGCCGGGAGCGGGTGGTGGGCGTGCAGCTTGCGCGGCCGCTGCCGCCGCCTCCTGTCCATGGCGAAAAGCAAGTTCGAGTACGTGCGGGACTTCGAGGCGGACGATACCTGTCTGCCCAACTGCTGGATAGTGGTGCGGCTGGACGGCCGCAACTTCCACAGGTGAGGGCGGGCGGGCAGCTCATGGCCGGGGCGCTTCTGGCAGTGTGGTCGCTCTGGCGGCGCCTCAGCGAGTGGAGGGGGGGGACGGGTCCGGGGTACGGAGGCGCGAAGCCCTGGAGGCGCTGGGATGCTGGCTGTGAGTGCTGGGCCGAGAGAAGGGCCCCTGGCTGCCGCCATGCGGGAGTCTTGGCAACCCCCTGCCTGGCCTGGGCGGGTTCCGCAGGGTTAACAACTCCTCCTTTCCCCTCACCCCCAGAGTGAGGCCTTAGCTCTGCCTCTCCGATTGCTACCGGTGCTTTGCCTCCGAGGGCCATGGTTTGATTCATAACGGTGCCTTCGGCAGCGTGGTAGGGAAACGGTTATACCAGTGTCTGAGGGGAGCAGCAGTTGCTGGGGGAAGGCCAGCAACTGGTGTACAGCGGTTTTTATTTGTGTTTGGTGTCGGTGTCTGTGCGGCGTTCACCTTTTCTGGAGATCAATAGAACGCAGTTCTCAAGTGCTAGATGATGTATCCGTTGCTGGGGATTTGGTCTCTGGGTTTGTCAAAGAGTTCTGGTAAAGCTGTCAAGTTTTAAGAAGTAAATGATAATGTTGCCTGTATTGGATAGAGTGTAAAAGGCAGCATGGGAGAAAGTGAGTTTATATTTGTCATCCTTTCCAAGTGAAATACAGAACCCAGTCGTGAAAGACAAATAAGGCTGAGATACTGACAGGAAAGAGAATGGGTTATCCAGAGTGTATAAAAAGTTTTTTTGTTATTGCTTTTCATACCTGGAGCGAATTCTCTGTATTGACAGGATACTGGAAATCCATATTGATAGAAGGCAAATGTGAGGAAACTAAAAGGGATGTCATTTTTAGTGGCTTCTTAAGGGGTTCTTATTCAACCATTTTTGCTTTGAAGGTTTTCTGAGCAGCATGAGTTCAAAAAGCCAAATGATGACCGTGCTCTTCATCTGATGACCAAGTGTGCCCAGACAGTGATGGAAGAACTGGAGGATATTGCTATTGCTTATGGACAGAGTGATGAATACAGTTTTGTCTTCAAAAAGAAGAGTAAATGGTTTAAAAGAAGAGCAAGGTAACAGCTGCTTTGATGCTACATCTCTAAACCTCTAATTCTTTAGGTTTGTCTTTATCTACATACAAAAGTTAAGAGTTGGGCTGTGTTTGGGTGTATACAGTGTATCTAATTCAGGTTTTTCATGTGAAGGGTTTGCTAGTCATCCTTCAGGAAAATATGTTCAGTGATACAGAGATTTAGAAACAAAATTGATGATAGAAACGTTGGAAACAAGCATTGACAGAATAAACATTCTTTTAAGAAAATGTTACTTTTTCCAAACTTCCTTGATTCTCAGTACTTCCTGTTCTTCAGAAGACTGTCCTTGCTCATCTGTTGGGCTGTTAATTAAGAAATGTTGCTGTCCACCAGAACAATAGCTACTACACCTCAGATAATCACAGATACGAGTCACATTGATGTGTTTCTTTCTATTTCCTTTTGCTTTGTGTTTGCAAGCAAGTTCATGACTCATGTGGTCTCCCAGTTTGCCTCAAGTTACGTTTTCTATTGGAAGGATTACTTCAAGGACCAGCCACTTCTGTACCCACCAGGATTCGATGCCCGAATTGTGTTGTATCCCAGCAACCAGAATTTAAAGGACTACCTCAGCTGGAGACAAGCAGATTGTAAGTGTTTCTAGAAAACGGGTTTGTGCAGTTGAGTTGTCTTCATCTCTGAATACAAATGCCTTTATTGTCAGTGTATATAGGTATCAGCAGGTAGGGTGATAGCTTTAAATCAACAATATTAGCATCATTTTGTGCTTTGTATGGATACAGAAATACTGGCTGGAATTTTGAGCCTTCAGTTTACAACCATATTTGTTGCATCCTGGGAGTGAGTTCAGCGCAAGAAATATTTCAAATATTAATAGAATTAACTTACTGTTTTTTATGATCCAAGTTTGTTTAGCCAGGGGAATCTTGAAGAGATGTGGATGTTCAATCAGTGCTGTATATTCCACACCAGAACACACCTTTGGATTTACTTCCTAGGCGTTTGTTGGTAGCTAATCCCTATTGCTCAAATGAAGACAACTTAGATTACACAGAAACACTCTTCGCTCTCTGCTCTCACAGAAACAGTCTTCACTCTCTGCTCTCCAATTTCAGAATTACAAAGAAATGTGTCTTCTAGTAATTCTTATGATATGCAGTACCTTAAGAGTTAATCAGAAAGATCATATCATCTCTAGCAACTGGTATTATTAATTCTGTTTTTTTTTTTGGCTGTTTCTTGAGTACAGCTCTGAAACTAAAGCTCTTTTTTCCGAGTAGTCACTGAGGTTTGATAAATACTCTTTCTCTTTTCTCTTTTTCTGTAGGCCATATTAATAACCTTTATAATACAGTGTTTTGGATGCTTGTACAGCGAAGTGGTTTGACACCAGTGCAAGCACAGGATAGACTGCAGGTAAGAGTCTCTTTAGATCATGTTTTTTTCCAGCTCCAGAGAAAATGCTAAGATTTGTAAAGCTGCAATTGCCTACCCAGCAGCCATGGCTGGATTGTCTGTTCTTATAATAATAATTTTGTGGATGTAGATTCAACTTCTTCAATTGTACAGATGCTAACTTGATTGGAAAACACTGTCTTTTTGGACAAATATTGGTAGGATTTTAATCCTTCATTAGCAAGTTCAGAAAGCATAGAAATGTCATATAAACATCCAGTATATGTATGCATGAAGTATTATGGCAGGATTCAGCTAGTACTGATTCCCAGTCCCTTCTGTAGGATTTTGCCTGAACGTGCAGACTTGAGCAGATCATTTTCTCTTGGAGTCTGTTGACTTTTATCTCTTTGTCTGAAAGATGTAACCAAACAGACAACAAAACCTTCTCTGTATTAATATCCTCATTTGGCAGTTGGAAGTAATTCCTCTGTTGGAAGAGGTAGTTAAACCCTGTGACTTCAAGGTGAAAACCTGCCTAAATATCAGTCTTTCATCCAATGTTCCCCCTTTTTCTACCCTGGAGATTGAGTTTGTTTGTTTTTCTTTAAAAGTATTTTCTGTTTTCATTTCCCCTCAGGGGACTTTGGCTGGAGATAAGAATGAAATACTCTTTTCTGAATTCAACATCAACTACAACAATGAACCTCTGATGTACAGAAAAGGAACTGTCTTAGTATGGCAAAAGGTAAAAAGCTGTCTTCCCACTTGCTTCAAGCTCATGGTTTTAGTAGGGACACTATGGCAGATAAGCTGCACTGTAAGATCACCAGCTATATCCCAAATATATGTCTATGTATTTAACATATGTCTGTGTATTAACTAACCATATTTACCTTATAATGATGTGTGAGATGTGTAATTATTTTGGAGATATTTTTGAGAGATGTGTATCTATGAGCATAGCATAGAAACTGGTCTTTGAAATGTGACTTGGGTACAAATTATGACTGTTGAGCTAATAGATGTATCAATGGCTGAGGGCTGTTGGACTAGGTGATCTCCAGAGGTCCCTTACAACATGAATGATTCTGTGAATTACACAAGACTGATGTTTTTGCTAGACAAATCTACTTTGTTTAAGGAACTGTACCCGTGGTTTCTTGGTGTTACCAGTTTTGAAAATGCAGGAAGTATTCTGCTTCCTGAAAAACTACATTTTAATGACCGTTGTCATTTTGATATGATAATTGTTGGGGCTTGTGTCAGGCCCTTCTTCACAGGACTAGATCCCAGGTATTTCCACTGCAAAGGAATTCTGACCTTTTGGCCTACTGTTTCTTTGTTTGGCCTATTATTACTTCGTTTGACCTAATTGGATAGAGGCTTCCACCTGGGAATACATTCTACTTGTTCCTTATGCATATTTTTTTCTTGGTAATGACATTTGCATGATTTCCCATTTGCTTTATATAATTCCAAATTAAATACTGTGTTTTATTCAGGAACATTTGGAATCAGGTGACTTTGAAGGTCATTTCTTCAAGCCATGTGATGATGACATGCAGTTTCAGCTGCTCACGGTTGAACTGAGAATAGGCTTTCTTTCAAAAGATGCTATGTAGTGTGCATCCTTTTTCTGTAGCTTTGGTTCTTGTCCATTTGTGAATTTCCTCTGGAGTTTTTCCTGTGTGCTAATGTGTCAACTGTATTTTCAGGTTAATGAAGTCATGACTAAGAAAATGAAACTGCCCAAGGAAGCAGAAGAAAAGGAAGTTGAAGTGACTCGGACTAGGACTAAAGTTGTTCCCCTGCACTGTGACATTATCGGGGACCAGTTCTGGGAGGAATACCCTGAGATTCTGGATGAGGATAGTTAGTATCTCTGAGTATGCTGTCTGACGTACAAGGATATGCCCGGATGGAGAGCTAAAATCCTAGTAGATTTTGAATGTTAAGGAATCATAATTGAAGACTGCTCCTTTCTTGAACATGCGTATTTGTAGAAAAAGTGTACAGAAATGCCCTGCATTTCTATAGCATTTAAATGAAGTGTTTTACTGAACTGCCAAACTATAAAAAGGTTTGTGTATTTGAACAGCTCAAAGCAGAGGAGAAAATAATGCAGTTTTTTTTGTTTGTTTGTTTGTTTGTTTCAACTGCGATGGGCCAGAATAGGATCACAGAACAGTTTGGGTTGGAAGGGGCCTTAAAGATCATTGGCCTGGGTTCAGCTGTAGCAGTCATTTTTCTCTTTAGTAGTTGGTGCAGTGCTGTGTTTTTGGCTTTAGCCTGAGGACAGTGCTGTTAGCACCAGCTGAAGACTTTGGTGAGTCAAGTAACATTTACTCCGATCAAGGACTTTTCAGTCTTTTTCTCTGCCAGTGAGGAGGGGCAGGAGAAGCCAGGAGGAAACAGAGACAGGACACCTGACCCAAACTAGCCAAAGAGTTATGCTGTAGCACAGCATGTCATGCCCAGGATATAAACTGGACAGAGCTACCTGGAACGCCCAGATCGCTGCCAGGTTGGGCTGGGTATCGGTTGACGGATGGTGGGTGATTGTACTCTCACCCCTTGTTATTTCCCTTATCATTATTGTTACTGGTGGCAGCAGTAGTGGTTTTGTGTTATACCTTAGTTACGGGACTGTTCTTATCTCAACCCTACTGGCTGAGCTTAAACCATGCCAGTTCTTCTTGCCGGGTGTGCTGGTGCACGCCTGTAGTTCCATCTACTAATGTAGATTACATTATTATTATTATTATTACTAATGTATTATTATTACTAATGTAATCCATACATAGCCTCATGAATATGTATGCATGCCCAGGGACTATATAAGGATGTCTCCTGTAGCCATATGGGGACATCCCCCATGTCTCCCGGCACCGCAGTCAAGACAACCTGATTGTCAACTTGAAAACTCTGTTGGCAAGTTTGTGCCTGGACTTTTCTCCGAGTCCCATCCAACCTGGCCTTGAACACTGCCAGGGATGGGGCAGAATACTTCAACTGGCATTTAGTATTGAATTTCAAGGCTCATGTGTTTAATCAGATCAGTGCTAAGCTGTTTGCCTGCTCTGATCCTCACACAAAGGGAGTAGCCCAGCAGTTTTTTGTGATTTTCAAAGCTTTTGTCAAATGTACAGTTTTTTTATACTTTTGAAAAATAAAAATAATAATTTCTTCCCTGTTGTGTTTATTACTGGGCCTTTATTTTCCTGAGAATTTTACTAGTAATGGGTGAAAGTTGCAGAGAGGGGAATTAATAGTCAAGGTATGGTAGAGATTTGAAGTCTGTTAGGCCATGGGCAGTACACACTGTGTTCTCCTCTTCTGTGCCCGGCAGCAGAGTTGGTGTGTGTCTCCTGCTGGGCAGCAGAGTGAAAAGTGGTACCACTGGAAATTCTGGTGCCTGCAAAGAGGCCGCTGAACCAGTTTTGTACTGCTGTCTTCTGATTTTCCTGGGGATGACACAAGACAGTGCTCCTGACAGTACGGGTTAGAGGGAAAACAATCAATTAATTAATCAAACAGTTAAATCCATACAACCTCTCTGAGCCGAGATAGTTCTGCCAAGGTAAAGGAGCTTGTCCCAGTGCAGCTGGGATTGGAGAGAAACAACCTATTTCAGTATAGAAATACAACTATAATGATAGAACAGGTATTTATAAGGATATTACTGCTAGAACAGCAATTGGGCACGCTGCTGCTAAGGGAGAGACAGGCAGGAGTTGGGACTGGCCATAAAACTGGAAGCAAAGGCTAAGGTGGGACTGAATTAGTTACCCATGAATTTGTACAGCAGCCTGCTCTCTGTTTCCTTTTTTCTTCCCCCAGGAAGAACTTACACATTTAAGGCGATGTGTATTTGGGTTTGGTTTTGTTTTTTAAAAGCCACCCACAAGGTGCTGATGTAAACTACACCTTTGTAGGTTCTTCCTGAGATTAAACGATGACCCAATGTGCTGCTGATATCACAGGGCTTCCCTTTCACGGCTGTGTTGTTTAACATGAAGCAGACTCTGTGGGAGAATGGGGATAGAATTTCCTTTGGAGAATGGGATGTGTAATTCCCAGGAAGAGGATATGAGGGATTATGAGAGGATGATTCCAGATGAATCATTGCACTCACCATTGACCCTTAAGCCCTTCCTGTTTGCATGTTGATTTGGGGTTTACTTTCCTTTGAGATGCTGTGTGTTGCTATCTGTTGCCTGACTTGGGACGTTACATCTAAAGCAACTGTTCCAGAGGTGGTAACAGCTGGATTTTGAAGTCAAAGTTTTAGATTAAGAAATTTGGCAACCATGATTCATGCATGGAAAGTATTATGTACCTTTTTTGTCTTCTATGACTACCTGATCCATAAATACACTGTGGAATGTATGTACATGATATGTGTGTATATTAGGTCATCCTTACAATAATACATAAATGCATCTGCGTGCATATGGACGCAGACTTTAGAACCAACATACGGATTAGCTGAAGAACCATACCCTTTGATTTGCATTAATATAAATGCTGGAGAAAGAAAATCCCTGTGCTGTTGTCATGCGTCAAGTCGTTTCGGCGACTTTGTAGCTGTAGGGGGAAATAAATCTCCCCAAGGCTCAAGCAGCAGACAGGTGTTAGCACCACACACAGCTCAACCTGCGGCCTGTGCCTGTAGGGATTTCTACGGCTGCAGCAGTCCCGTACGGTGACCCAGTAAGGAGTCCTTCCGTAACAGGAACCACAAACGTACAGGACCCAGGTCTGGAAGATTAATGGGAGGCGATGGAATCCGTCTCAGTAAAACTGCTTTGCAGCATTAACACACGGGGCCTTGCTGTTCCTGTGCTTTACACCCTTTTTACGGGTTAAAATGCAAACTCCCTTGCAACCACCGTTTGCCCAGGTGCTATTTCATGGCCAGGGCGGTGCCGTTCGTTCCCTGCGCGGCGGCGATCTCCTACATCAGCTGTGGGGCTGCAGAGGGAAACCCGGTGCTGCACGGCGCCACGGGCCGAGGGCAGCCGTAGAACGCCGCACTTGGCGCGGCTCCTTGCGCGGGCGCGGCCGACTCCGCCCCTCGGCCCGCCCCGGACGCGGGCGGTGCTCCGCGGCCTCTGCCCTCCCTTCCCCGCGCAGCGCGGGACCCGCTAAGGTTGTGCGGCCGCAGGGGGGGCTCTCCGGACGGGACGGCAGTGCCCCCTGGCGGCAGCGGGGTGCCCCGGGCCCCTGCCCGCAGCCCGGCATGGAGGAGGAGGAGGGTGCCGCGGGCGGCGCGGAGCCGCGGCATCCGCGCCGCCGGGTCGGAAGCGAGCGCTGCCCCAGCCCCAGCCGCTTGGACGTGAGCTCCAGCCGCTTCGACCCGCTGCTGGCGCTGTACTCGGCCAGCACGCCGCTGCCCTTCCCCTCCGCGCCCTGCTTCAACAACCTCGCCGAGTACGAGAGCTTCCAGCGCGGCCTGCTCCGCCCGCGGGGCCGCCGCTCCGCTCCCTCTCGCCGCGGCCCGCCCGCTTCCCGCTCCGCCCGCCGGGGCCCGCCCGCCGCCGACCCCGAGCGCATCCAGCGCCTCCGCAGCCTCATGGTCAACGCGGGCCACGAGCAGGAGGCGGCCGAGGGCGGGGGCACGGCCCGGCGCCGGCGGGCACCGCGCAACGTCCTCACCAGGATGCCCCGTAAGTGCGGGCGGACACGGAGGGGTGCTGCGGTGGGGAAGGGAGCGCGGGGCGGCTGCAGGCAGGGCTGGAGGGCGTGAAGGCGCGGGTCTGGGCCGGGTGCTGAGGGGGGAACGCTGTAGGAGCTGAGCCGTGGGGTCGAGGGATGCGGCGGGGCCCGGGTGTGGCCGGAGGCGTGGAGCTGGGATGGAGTTTGGGGAGTTGGGAGGTTGTGTTCTGGAGGAGGCGGCGGTTGGGGGACAATGGATGTGGGTGGTGGGGAAGGGGCAGGGCTGGAATCCGGGTGGAAAACGGTGCTTGTGTGTTAGGTGAGAGAGCGGGGAAACCGTGTGCGTATGAGGAGCGGTGAACTTCACAGGAGTGCTTATTCAGAGATGACACTCGCTATGGTAACGTGCTGCTCAGCTGTGTGGTTGATTATGTTGATCCTCTTGATTGAAGGAAAAAAGGGTGCGATACTGCTGTGCTTTTGAAAGTGCACTTTTTAAACCAGGAATCAGATTTGAGCCCGTTCAGCTCGTGACTAAATCATAATAACCTCGGCATGAGTCTGTAGCACACTGCTATATATATCTTAGTTACTAACTGTATGTCTCAGGGGCATAAATACAGTGCTGGCATTTCTAATACCATGATGGTAGGACAGTGGTGGGAGGCTGGAGGCAGCTGTGATGCTGATACAAGTTTCTCCTGTAAATCTGTGGGTGCAGTCAGGACGATAGCCCCTGCACGTGAAGGGGTGCAATTCGTGTGCCAACGCAAGCATCAGCTGGCATTGCTATCAAATGAGATGTAGCTTTAGTGCACTTAATTAAACACATTGTGTGTTTTTTGGAATCAAAATATCTCTTCTAATCACCAGCATCACTTTAATGATGTTGTTCTATAAAGGCAAAGCCCAGAATGTTCAGTCCTCAGTGCCCAAAGCAGAACTTTGTCCTTGCTTAGACGTCAAAGCATAATGTATTCACTGCTGTAGGCACTGCATGATGCTAATGTCCCATCAACTTAGCATTCTGCACAAATGCAGAGGCTCTGTTGGTGTAGGATTTCCAGATGAACTGACCTTAAATACTGATTTAGCATCCTAAATGGATGCTGTGATGGAATTGGGGAAAGAAAAAAACCAAACCCAACCCAACTGTGAAAATTAACTTTAATGGTGGTCTAGCAAATAAATTACGTGGTTCCATTAAGAGCACATACTTAATATGCACACATCTAAGGCTGGGCAGCATGGACTTTGAAGCAGACTGGCACAACTGCCATGAAAAGTGCTATTCAGCAGTCTGGAGAGCTTTAAGAATAACTTTCCTGTAAGCAGGGGGTCTGTCTGCACTGCAGATGGGCCCACATTTGAAGCCTGGGTTCTGAGGTGGTGGCTGCGTCTGAAAGTAACTGATGGGTGGTTTGCTGCATCCTTGTGCTCCCAGGTAGCAGTGACAAGGTACGATGTGTTCCCTAAATTCAGTGGGTCAGAAGTGTAAAATGGAGCTAACGTTTTGCCTGTCACAAGACATGATTTCAGATGCAGCCACAAAAGTGAGAAGGAAGCTGCTTGAGCAGTGCCTGTGTTGGATCAGTTCAGGAGAAGCTATTCCTAATTAACTTTGCATTGACCAAAGGGGCAGAGAACTCATGTGCAGGTGGTTAATGCAGAGCAGTTAGAAAGGCCTTTGGTAGTGCTCTGGGTTATTTCAGCTGTTCTCATTTGCTTTGCTATTATTGCTTGGGTTTGGTTTTGTTTTTAATCTTGCCTCTTAAAACCTTGCCCTGAGGACAGGGACTTGAACTTCACCAGAGTTTGTATCTTTATTTTCTCCCTCCTGGGGTACTCACCCTCTGGCTTGCAGTAATTTATTAGCTATTCTTCAGAATCCTGGTATTAAGCATGTGCTTACTGTACACAAATAGGGATTGGGTTTAGAGTACAAAACCAACCAGGTACATCCTTCCTTGTGGATTGAAAACCTATTCATCCTGGTACATAACAGCATCAGCAGCCACAGGCAACTCTATCTATGTGCAGAGCCTGGTCACCCCAGGCTTTGCTGCTTGCAGAAGAGCAGAAATGAATTCCTTTCGTTGCTGGTTTTATTGTTTTGCCAGAAGTGGATGTCAGATTGTTTAAAGGCTTTTGGATTCTGTGTTCTGCCCTTTTGATCAAGTGAAGTTGAAGGTTTGCCCTGGTGAAGCTGCAAGGGCAAGTGGAAGAGTGTGTCTTGTCTAGGTTTGGTAGAGCCGCAGTGTTCTCCACCAGGCCTAATGGGGTGCTGACAGTCAAAGGCATAGTTGGGAATATAGACAGGATGTGGATTTTCACAAGAAGTTGTAGATAAACTTCCTGTATAAAGGGAGCATTGGAATTTAAAATCTGACTCTGATAAGATGCTGTAGATTGTCAGAATTGGGTAGAAAGAAAGAGTGTTTTCTGATTAAAAGCATCCATCTGATGATGCGATGGTGTCACCTGTGGTTCCTGCACATCCAGAACATCAGTTCCTCATCACTTTGGCTGAAAGAAGCAGAGAGACTTGTGAAAAGGCCCCCACAGGCAGAGCTGGGAGGTACTGAGGCAGCTTATGCTCTGTGTGAAAGCAGTTTTCTCCAGCTACCCAGCTGGAGAGGGCTGGCAAGACAACAGTGGATCTCAAAAGATAAATGTTGTTAGGTTAATTCAGAGGCAACTGCTTTAGCTTTCCCTGCTGTGGCTAAGAATTACCATGCAGGCAAACACCGCAGATCAGCTGTCATATGGCAACGCTTTACACTCACAGGATGTATCTTCTAGCGTGCAAATCAGGCCTTGAATGCGTGGTCCCTAAAGCACAAGGCGAGAGATCATCCCTGACTCAGATATTTTATTAATATGAAGAACCATGTGAGATTTTAGACCAGTGTTTTTCCCTGGCTCTCAGAAGGAATTGTACAGCAACCCTGGGGCTGTGTTTGCACAAGCAAATGAGTAGCTGTAATTTAGCACTGGAATGACTTTGCTGTGGTGTAGGTGGAAGTTGTAAAGTAAATAATATCTACCCCTCCAGGTAATTTACACTTGCAGAGATTTTCTAGTGTGCAGATAAGGCGTGTTCCTATCAGATAAGCTGTATGTTTTCCTGAATCCCATTGTGCCGAAAAGGGGCTGACAAGAAGTCTGGATGGGGACTTCTTACAGGGCATGTAGTGACAGGACAAGGGGGAATGGCTTTAATCTGAAAGAGGGGAGTTTCAGATTGGATACCGGGGGGAAGGAATCACTGAGGGTAGCACTGGCACATGTTGCGTAGAGATGCCGTGGCTACCCTATCCCTGGCAGTGTTCAAGGCCAGGCTGGATGGGGCTTGGAGCAACCTGCACACATGGAAGGTGTCCCTGCCCATGGCAGGGGCTTCAACTGGATGAGCTTAAAGGGTCTTTCCAACCCAAACCAGTCTGGGATTAGTGCTCTGTGGGTTAGCTGGTTTCATCGATGACTGTTGCGTAGAGTAATTTCTTTTCTTTGCCGCAAAGACTTGTGCATCTTTGAAGGGTGTTCTGCTGCCTGCTGAAAGTTCAACTGAAACAATCCATTTTCATCAGTTTAAACAGATCTGGTTTAGTTAGTTGAAGATCTTTGAGTCAGTCATTGTTTCAGAAATCGTGTAAAGAAAAGGAACACACCTGATACAGTAGTTTATTGAGTAAAGTGCCTAAGCTGAGGTAGCCTTAACTAGGCACTGTCTTCATAACTCACTCTGCCTCTGTGAATGTTCTTTTCCCTCTGAACCACTTCTGCTTAAGGTTAGCATTACTTTGCATGTTTCTGAAATGCAGCAGGAAGATTTTCAGATGAGGCTGTTTTGGCTGTGAGTTATGTAAAGCGAAGCCTTCATATTTTCTGAAGTCTTTGCTGTCCCACTGTAAGAAGAGTCTAAAAGAAGATGGTCTAGTAATGACAACTGCAGTGCATTACAGTGCTCCAGGGCTTCTCTTTTCTCTTGCTGTGAAGACAAGTGTTGTGCCAAGATCTGCTGTACTTCCACTCTATGTCTATAGGAATATACATAGTATATTCTTACATATATTTTTAGACACACATATGTATATACATATGTTTATGTATGTATTTTGTTGAAAACCTGTGTTGTTCTCTTTGTGGTTTAGTCCATGAAGGCAGCCCACTGGGGGAACTTCATCGCTGTGTCCGAGATGGTGTAAGAATCAATGTCCATATCCGCACTTTCAAAGGACTTCGTGGAGTCTGCACAGGTTTTTTGGTTGCATTTGACAAGTTCTGGAATATGGTAATTACTTTTCATTTAGTTATTGTATCCTTGATTTATAACTGGTATATTGAAAACTTGAAATTTGTGATAGGTTTGAGCAAACTACACTGTGAGAGGATTAATGTGGTATTGTGGTTCATAAAACTAATTTGCTCTTGCACCGAGGGCTGGGTTACAGGTGAAAGTGGTGCCTGGTGTTGGATTGGTACATCTGAGAGTAGCCATCTTAGAGAAGTTTTAGGTGAGAGAGGAGCTTTGAAGAGTTCCCAAGATCTTCAAAGGTTTTGTATAAGAATTCAAGAAGGTGGAATATGAGGAATATAAGAAGCTTCCGAAGCTTTCTCTGCAGAACCCAATCTTCTTATAGTCATAGCCACTTCTTTGTTTTCTTTCACTAGCATGTCATTGGGATGTCAGCGACAAAAGCTTTTCCTTGTGTTCCACCTCATGAAGATTTTAAAGACAGCGATGGAAAAACAGCTATTAAATATTTGTGAGCATGGAGCTGTGAAAAGTTTGGAAGTGGGGAGTGGGGGTGGATTTTGCAGGTTCACAGAGATTTTGCAAGTAGTGCAGGACAGATGCCAGGCTTTGCTGCTGCTTTTGTAGCTCACTACAACTTGGATGATTAAGAAACCAGCTTCAAAGCACAGCTTGTTCCTGGGATGGTTTTTCTCTTAGAACGTAATTCCATAGTGCTGTGACGCAAAGCTGGTCCAGAGCTTCTTCATGTTTTCTTTTAATCTTGACCTTTCTGTTTCTTCTGTCTTCTAGGCCCTGACAGATGTAGATGAGACATACAGAAAACCAGTGATGGGCAAAGCGTTCTACGCAGAGCCTCAGCTCTCACTAACCAGGGTAGGTAGCCATCTCCAGCTCTCATTTGCCTTTTTAGTGTCTCCTTTTTCAAAGCAGTAAAAGGGGAGCATTGATTGGAAGACTGTATTTATATTTCAGTACTTTACCTCCTTTTATTACAGATGACTGCAAAAATGACTTGAACTGGTTTTCAGATCAGAACAAAGCAGTTTTCTGACCTTTTTGAAATTTGGTCATAGTTCAGTGTTAGAGAAGTTCTACTTTGGAGTTGCTAATATCAGATCACAGTTGCTACCACTGTGTAGTGCAACATGCTGACATTCTATAAGATCACTCTGGGTTTTGATTTGTTCAGTGCATTCTGCTGCACCTATGATTGATCTGGTTCACATTTGTCCTGTGCACGTTTGGCAGTGCATTACTTCGACACCCATGTTCATGGAGTGGCAGTTTTTGTCTCCACCTAATGAAACAGTACATCTCTGTGGTCAGTTGAACTTCTGGTCTAGGTACTATGAAGCCCAAGATTTGGGACATTGCTCTGAAGCAAGACACTCTCTAGGATCCAGCTACAAAAATGATGTGTATGAAGTTGAGAACTGAAGAGATGATAGATGAAATTCTGAACAATGAAGGGGAAGAAAAGATGTGTCAGAGCTGTGCCTATTGAATGGCAGAGCTCTGGGCCTTTCAAACATCAGAGAAGTGTCATAAAAACACTTAAATGATTTCATTATGAGGAATTTACTTTCAAACTCCTGCCATTTCAATCTGTTTTCTGATAGATCCCACCCTTCCTCTTTTAAAGATTAGTTAAAAATAATCAAGTTGCCATTGTTCCTTCATCCACTCTCACAGGGATTGGTGTTCTGTCCTGTTGCTGGGAAAGGGACAGGCTAACCGAGAATCTTCTTCATTTGTCTGTATTTCATAAAAGTTTGCCTGCTGCCAGAGTAAAAGCAGTTTCTTTTCCAGTTTCAGCACATGTATCCTTAGATTAATGAGCTCATACAGTGCTCTGGATCTGTTGCTCTAGCTTTTATTATTTTTCTATTGTTTGCGGCCTGCTCATGTCCCAGAATACCCGCATGGCATGATTTAGTTTGTTTTGGGGAACACAAAAGGTCCATCATGGGGCAGCTTGGTAACTGTCTGTCGGTCTGGACCAAAGTTAAATGCAAACACATCAGTATTGCTTCCCAAATTAAATTCCTTGGTGCTCACATGAAGGCACTCATGTGCATGCAGCAGATGCATTCACCTTATGTCACTGGTGGACTTTGGCAAGAAAACATAGTCTTTATTGCTGGTAAAGATTCCTCACTCATTATTGTATTGTGAGCTCTGATTTGGGATTGTAGATGCAAATACCACATAGTAATGCTGAACAAGCACCTCTTGTTTTATGAATGTGGTCATATACACAAATGCTCTTTTACAGCTGTTTAACAGACTCAAGCTGCAGGATTCCTCAGTAAAGAAGGGAGCTGACTCAAAGACTGTCTCAGAGGAGCTAGCCCTGACAAATGACTCTCAGATGCTGGGGTCGAAAGCTGGATCAGGACGAGGGAGAGCAGAAGATGAGCGTGAGAGGCAGAAACGCTTGGGCAGAGCTGGAGAAAAGAAGATGCCAGGTGACAGTTCACATCTGACTGCCAGAGGTGAAGCTGATGTGGGCAGCGGGACTGCCCGCACAGAGGGTGCCAGTGCTGGTGGTACCCGTACAAGAAGCCAGTCACGGAGAAAAAGGCGGCCCAAAGTGGATTATCAGCAGGTGTTCACACGTCACATAAACCAGATCTTTATTCGAGGAGAGAATGTCCTGCTTGTCCATTTAGCACATTGACTTAGCTGAGCCTTTGTCAGTGTATTTATTTGATAGCATGAATTGCCGCTGCAGCTCACATCGCTATTTAGCATTCTCGTTAAGTATGATGGTACTGTGACTGGTTTCCCATTGCCATAACAAGATAGGGGAAATAATTCTAACTGGAGCATCCTGAACTTGATGCCAAAGCAGCCCCCTTAGATCTCTGTTGGGGATTTCTGTTGCTGACGGGGTCAGAAATGCAGTTGTTTCTGTGAGATGGGCACAGATCCTACTGCTCCTTAAAAAGAAGCTAAACAGAGAGGGCTGGAAGAGAATATTGGTGTACTCGGCTACAGGAGCTAATTGTGGCCCACATTTAAGGAGCTTAAGGTTTTTGTTTGCATGTTCTGAGTAATCTCAAAAGAAGGTTGCTAATGAAACTGATAGTTTATCTGCTGCTGTTACATGGATGTTCTCTTTTCCAGACAGTTCTGACAGTCATTTTGGAAGTATGAAAAGGTGGAGTGATGTGCTACTTGGTGGCTATTAGCTGCTTCTTCAGTTAGCTCTCTAATGCCCTGTATGATAGAAAGCCTCTCAACTGAAAACTACTCTTTTTCTCTGAATAATGGAAGGACATTAATTTGTTTTTACAATGTCAAAGCTTGGGCTTCTGGTTTTGTATGCTGTGCTTTAGCCCTGTGTCACCAGCAAGCAGCTAATGTAGCTGATCCACAGGCCTCCATATTTGGAGTTTCTCTGTAAATATTGTGGTTGCAGATGGCAAATTGTACTTCCATATTTCACCCATTTGCTACTTGGTGTAATAGTGAAGTTTGCAAAGATGTCATTTTTCTTCTCAGATTTAAGTGTTTGTGCTGGGCACAACTGTACTGTATCTAAGCGCCTTTCAAGTTCCCTCTATTGAAACTAGAGGTGCTGTGTTTCCAGCAGCTCTTACGGAGGAGAAATCTTCATGGGTCTTTCCTATCCATGTGAATGATGTATCATCTAATTCCATTTAAACTGAGCTTTGGAGGTGCGCTTACAAATGTTTTGAAGTATAAAAGTCAAAGTCAGCTTATCATATAACTGCTTTCCAAGAGAGCTACATGTAGAAGTTTGAGGGTAAATGAAGCTGTTACATTATCTAGTCTATTCCCTTAGTTGTGAAAGGACAGTAGATTTCATACTGCTATTCCTATATTCATCTCAGCTGACTTACGCTTTGTGTTTAAGATGAAGTTGGGAAATTGCTTTATAGTAGGGCTTGTGTTGCATATAGAGGTCGTAAGTCTTCAAACTGGTTGACATGTACTCTCAGTGACATGTATTTCTGTTGCTGCAAATGCAACATGCTGCTTGCTTGTCATTAGGGGTATGTCTGGGGTTTGGGTGGATTACAGAAATCGTTTAGCAGGAGTTTCTGGACACACAAAGCAGCTGGATGCCTCTGGGGGAGCCTGAAACTTTTATGGCAATGTTTCAGATGACAAGGGCCCCTGAGCTGCAAACCCAAGTTCAGCCTGGGACAGAAGTGCCTCAGAATAAAACGTACTGTTGGCAAATCAGTTTCATCAGAGGGGGTAAGGAAAGAATATCTACAGTTTCTTGTTATACATAACTTTATTGGTGTCATCCCTTCCTGCTATGATCTGAGACTGGGCACTGAAAAGATTCTTCTCTTGAAGGTTCTTGTTTCCTCTCCTTTTAGTGCTGTTCTTGGTTGTGTTTTCATGTGGTCTGCAGTTCTCCCTACCTCCTTCTCTTGTCAGTATTTTATCTCTTCAGGACATTCTAATCCTGGTTTAGGAAGACTGTTCTTTTATTCACCCCCAGTTGTCCTGGGTTTCTGAACCTTTCCTGGTTGGCTTCCTGTGTGGTTGCCAACTAATCAGAACGCTCACAAATTATTAGAAATGTGAAGCTAGAACAAGAGGCTTATTTCTGCTCCTGACTTCTCCTCAGCTTTTGTAGCAGCTGAATGCTTGTCTTCGTTATGGTTTTGGTTGTGGGTTGCTTTTCCCCCTCTGCTTTCTGACTGGTTTGTTTTTCTTTCAGTTTGGGATGACTGATCTCTGCCTTTTCCATTCATGCCAAAGGCTACTGGTTTTGACCTCTCCTCTTTCCTTCATGCTTGACCAAAGGGTGTCAGATCTCCACTCAGGCCTATGTACTATGACTTTGAATTCAATTCTTGCTCTTCTTTACCTCATATTCTTAATTCTCTTGGTTTGCCCAATTTATACCACCTTGTGTTTCCTTTCAGCAGAACCTTTTCTCTGAAACCTTGGAGGTGTTTGTTGCTTCACATCTACAAGTTTCTCTTTTTACATTTTATGAAAAGTGCTGGTGCTTGGACTTGAGTTAGTGCCTTGATTTTTGTACCATCACTGACACCTTTGTCCAAAATCATCACCTCAGTCAACAAACCTGGTTAAGAACTATCCAGTTTGTCTACTTCTTTTGCTCTACCTCATTATTAAACTATTCCTCCTCTGTTCTCATGGTTGTCTCATCTGTGGGGTTAGTTAAAAGTCTCTCTTCCAATTTAGATTTAATCATTTATTTGGTGGTTGTTTCCTACTTCCTGATCCACCTCTTAACTATTTCCAAGCTGCTTCCTAAATACAGCCTCTTCGGCAACTTCAGATCTTCCAAAGTGTCTTCCTTTTCCCTACTTTCTCTCACATTGTATCTTTTTAAAGTCTGTTATCAAAGTGCTAGTTTATGAATTTTCTCTTTCATGCATAACATTTGTGATTTAGTCTCTTTCAAGCATCATGATCGTGACTAAGGAAGCGATCCTGTATGTGTGTCACTTGCGTGTTTAATACTTCAGCTGAAGTTGCTCTTTAAATAAAATCGAATGTGATGTTCTGAAGTGAAGTCGTCTACCTCACTGAAGTCTGTTTATGAAAAAAGAAGTCAGCCCTTGGAAGCAAACAAGTTTGATTAATTTATTGATTGTTTCTGGTTATTTATTTCCACGTTTTTCCTCTTCCAAACTCAATATAAAAATCCAGGTTCAAAAAGCTGTCTGCTTCTAGCAGTTCCTCTCTTGCTGCAGCGTCATGGAGATATGTGAGCCTACACACCTCGAGTCATTGTGCTAAAGAATGGAGAGGAGGAGCAGGAGGTTGTCTTAAGAAAAAGAGCAAGCTGTGTGAGAGTGAAAAAGCTTTGGGCCAAGTATAAGAACCTCGGGAAAGGATCCCAGTCCTGGTTGCAACCTGTCCAGTGTTTTAGGACATTGTTCAGCCTGGTCATAGGTGATGTCACAGGTCCATCTCATGGTGTCATCATGTGTCTTTCCATTGCCAGCACAGTTCAGTAGAGAGCCAAGTCTCATGGTTATGTTAAGAGTGATTTTATTTGTATGGTGATATAATCCTAGGGATTGCAGATGGTGTGAAAGGGGTTTTTATGGAACCACAGCATAAAACCTTGCTGTGCCATGGGGTTGCAGGGAGCTGGTAGGGAAAATCAGGCTGAGAGCTGCTGTGTTAGTCGTGGTTGTGGGTATCTTGGCTGGGATAACTTCCTGGGGAAACCTCTTGCACAGGTACTTTATTTTTACTGAACACATCTTAAACAGGGCTGTGGCAGTAGAATGGAGAAGGTCAAAGGAAAAGGAGCTTGTAAAAGGTGTGGGTATAGTGGCACCTCTCCACTGACTTCTCCAGCTTGTTAATTGCCTGGAAGTTGTTCGGGGCTGTTTTCTGCTTAGTGACAGGTATTTGGCATGTCCTCACCAGGTGATTACTTGAAGTAGCCAGCGAGAACTGTTTTCCATCTGCTTCTTGTCCTTCAGTTTCTGGATTTGCTGTTTCTGACGCAGCTTTCCCTTCTGCATCATTTGGAAGCAGGGCAAGGTCTCTCAGCAGGAGTAGGCTTGACTGCCCACTGGTCTCTTTTTTCCCTTTTATAATAAGAAATATTATACCCTGTCTAGTTTTGCATCCAGATTGCCTTTAGCTGTTCTTGGTTTTCATACTGTTCTCTGCGGACTTCTGGAATTATTTGTTCAGAAGAATTGTGTATCTTGGATTGATTGGAGTAAACTGATTTGGGGGTTTTTAATATTTTTACTTACTTTCTTTGCTAGGTTTGCTTAGTTTGCTGTTGCAGTCACCTGCTTGCACCTACAAATCACTGTGGGTGAAGAAAAAGCAGCAGAGAAAAAAAATACCTAATTTTTGTTGAAGCCAGCATCCTGCCCAACATGCTGTCCACACTTACTGTTTCTATTGCTTGCCAGCACTGACATAAGTGGGACGGATGGAAACAATGATTTCATCCAGAATCTTGAAAGAAAATGGAAAGGCAGCAGGGACAGCAAACTGAAAACACTCAGTTTCTGAAGATGTGTATCCCCAGGTAAATTTCTTGCCTTTGATTAAACAGGTCAGAATTATAATGACTATCTTAAATTGCAAGCTCTGCAACTGGATGAAGTTGGAAGGCACAGTGCTACACCCTGTCAGAGGCAATGCAGCAACAGTAGCAGTAATGCTGATTGCTTCAGCCAGGCAAGCTCTTTCCTTAGAAGCTGTTGATTTCTATGCAAGTGTCTGCCTCAGAGCATAACTGAAAAATACTGCAGATTAAGAAATTAATGTTTAAAATTCATGATTAAAATTAATGCTTTTTCTCCTGCCTGCGTTGCAAAGTGTAAGACATAAACGCTGAAACATGCATCTTCTGCATCCCAGAACTGTTTCAGTTCATGCTTTTGCTTCTTGACATTGGCTTAAAAATCTGAAGTTTATACTGTAGCAATCCTAAGACAGTCTTTGTTGTAACAGAATTTATGGAATTCTTACTGTAATTACGATATTACAAACCAAAAATATCCATTCCCCTGGATATTATGAAGATGCACAAATAGAAATGTATGAAGCCACAGCTGGAAGAAGAGATGGTAAATACTTCCCTTTTAGTGAAGGAAGGTGATCCTTCATTAGAAGGAGTAGTTACTTCTTCACTGAAGAAGTAATTTCCGAGGTAATTCTCCCGGTTTGCAGGTGTGATGGTAGGTGAATTAAACATGCACAAGGTGCGAGCTGAAAGATGCGTGGCTCAGTTTGTAGACTTGAGTATCAACAGTCTGACTTTACAATGAGAGTTTCTAGAGAAGGAACAGTTTACAGCCCTAACATCTGTGGCATTAGCTCCATGCAGAGCTTTCTTGTCGCTGTTATCCTTGCTCATAAGGAGATAAATACAGGGGATTTTGTATTTATTCTTGTGTTTATTCTTGTGCTGCCCTGTACAATGTTTTTCAAGGTGTACATAGTGGAGAGATCTGACTTAGGTGGACAGAGGAAGAGAGGGGCGACCGCTTGCAATAAGAACCCAAGGGCTGAGACCTAAAATCTAAGCAGTATCCTTCTGTCTAATGAGCTATAAATCTAGCAAAGGAAGATAGAGTCCAAGCTGAGCTTTATTTTTCAGTTTACCAAAAATACTAATACCCTGGTTGGGTATACTTGGACCAAAAGAGAAGAATGCACTCACATTTTCCTTGAGAGTCTTTAACTCTGTCAGACGTTTTTCCAGTAGTGCCTGTCTCACCTTCAGATAAATATTATTATGTTTTTTTGAAGTCCTGTTCTGTTCACATCGCCAGTAATATGCATTTCGCATTCAAAAGGTGCTTTTTGAAGTGAGTGTCATTAGAAGGACACCCGTTTTCAGGAGGTTACATGTAGTCTTCTGTGCTAATTTATAAAACACTTTGTAAGACATCACAGCTTTTTCTGTCAGGAGTTGTCCATGTATCTGCAGGACAAACATCAGCTGTTAATGACAGAAACGTGGAGTAAAACCTCACTATTGAAGAGCACCTTTTGCTGCTATTTTTTACCCATTAGCAGCCTGGGCAATAAAAAACAGGCCACTTGGGAAGAACTAGGCATGTGTGAGGGTCCCCCTCCAGGTGGGCACTGGAGGGTCAGTGTGCTTGAGAGAAACTTTTCTTGATGGAAAGGAATGTGCATAATCTACTGTAAGTATAACATGGACCTCTGTACATTTCCCCAGCTCTAGGCTTTCATGGCATGCTGAAAGGAGAGGAGAGAGGAATTACTTTACTTTGTGATAACTCCTTGGAGTGTGAGGGTGCTTTCCAGCCTGTACCCTCTTGTCATGCTTTGGCCAGCACTGGGCAGTTGTGCTCTGCAGGTGAAGGAGGAGTTGCAGAGACAGTTCTGGAGTGCAGCATCCGTTATGCTGTGAGTGCTTCACAGTACAACTGTACCCCAGGGGTCTCTGCCAGACTCCATCCCTAATAACTGACACGTTTCATCCTGCCTCTAAAACTTGGCAGAGGAAACCCAGTGGGAGAAAAAACAAGTAAGCAAATTTTCCCTTTTGAGGCAGGGATGGTGAAAGGCTTGGTTATCCTTGTTAGCTTCCTGGGGGTGCAGGCAAAAGGCCTACCTTAGTGGAGAAGTGTCAGAGATGGCTTGTCTCATGATGTTTACAAGTCCTTTTAGATGTCACTGTAAGTGCTCTTGCTTTTAGCTGGTAGAAGTGAAGGCCTGTCAGGGAAGGAAAATGCCTTCTGATGTTTCTGGGTAACTATTTTATTAGCTGCTAGCTTCATAGTATACACTTGGATGACTTAGCTGAAGAAAATTAGTACACCTGAGACTTTCAGTCAGTCTTGTATTCGTTTAGAATGAAAAGTAGTTTGATCAGCTTGTGTAAAAACATATCCATCCTTTTTTCCTCTCA